TAATATTAAGAAGAGCATGAACTAGCCAAGGGAGGATAACTTGAAGACTAAGAAAATACAGAGTAATGGGGCTTACAGTGGGATCTACATCACTGTACTTTTTTAGAAGGTGTACAGGTTTCTTTTTCATGATGCTGATTATATATGTTCCCAAACTCCACGGGGCTGTTTAAAATCCCATCGACTGCATAACTTGGATATTTCCACACTCCGAGTTCTGTGGAGTATTAGTTTCAGTGTTCATGCACACTGACTTAGCCCATTCCTGAGCTATACAAAATCCCTCTGGCAAACTCTATCACTGCCTCAGCTCTGACCTACATCTTCTCAGCTGCCCAATTCAAATCTCCTCCTGCCTGAAGATTGGCCATCAAGGCATAGAGAAGCTCCCTGTGACCGATGGAGCTCCTGTTCCCAGAGGTGAAAGGCCACCAGCTGTAAGAGCCCTCTTTCCTTCCTCTCTCCTGACTGACAACCCTCAGCAACAGCCCTCTAATTCATGCTACACTGCAGGAACTAAATAAACAACTGTATTAAGCAATTACTGCAATAAATGCTTTCTTTATTCCCTCCTTTCTACTACCAATTTGTTGTTGGAGGGCTGGAGTGGCTTAAGTTTTTTTAATTGCAAAATAACCACCTCACTGACAGGTGGGTTATGGTACATGTTTAAAAATCCATTGAAATGAAGATAAAGTCAGATGGGCTGTAATGTAATGCAAATTTGAAAGTCTTTGCTCTTAACTCTGCTGAGATTTTGCCAAGCTCGGGCATCCTCTACAGCAAGCAAAACATTCTCTTCCATGACACCAAAATGTGGGTTTTTTTAATCCTGCTTTAATCCTATTTTTATCCTCAAACATTTCAAATTTGAAATTCATCTTGCCCAGTGTATTTAAGTGCCCAGGAATTTGCTCCTGAAGTTAGTCCAGCCTCCCCAGTTCTGACTGCAAGGAAGGGAAGCTGTGATGGCAGATGTGTTATTTAACTACAACCAGCTATATGCTGTCCATTTAGACAGAGATTTGCCCTGCTATGCATAGCTAGATCTTTTCCACAAATGACATTATCTGATAATAAGGCCCAGACCTGACTTGCTTAAAGGAATTTCACTTGAAACTGGAAAATTAAATTCTCCTGGCAATCAAAGGCAAAATAACTCTGTAAGCTGACAACACATTTAAAATTAACTCTGATTTTTAGAAGAGATATCTTTTGGCAAGGTTGATTTTCCAATGAGTCTGACTTTTTTTAAACATGCAGCTCACTATTTACGGAGCAGTAATAATTTCAGGGGCTTGAAAACCTACTGAATTCTTCTGGAATAATTGAAACATCCAGACAATTAAGGAATGTGTGATTTGGTACTGATTTATTTAGCATGAAAACAGATTTGTGTCAAAATAGATGTCAACAGCCGAAATTCAAAAACACCTGCATCTTTACACTAATTTATCTTCAGTCACTTTGTGTGCATTATGGGCACACTTGAAAAATGGACTTGTGCTTGGGTTTTACTTATATTTAACACAGTTGTAACTTCTCATTGTAGAAGTTAGTTTGGCTGTTTTCTCGTATGTGTTGAGATAAGGGTGCCACCAAGGCACAAGGGTTGACAACCCCGTTTCACAGCCCAGTCCTTTCCACACCTGCAGAGCATCAGCATCATCTCCCTGCTTGGCATCCTGAGGGCAGGGCAGCTCCAAAATGCGGTGCCCGAGCTGTGCAGCGCAGCAGGGCCCGAGCAGCACGGCCCAGTGCGGTGCCATCGCAGCCTCCTCCCCTGTGCCCCTGTCACGGACGGCTGCTACCACAGCAAGGAAGTCAGCAAGAACAAAGATGTTTAAAAACTCATGTCGTATGGCCACAGATCTGGAGGATTGTTGGTCACATCTGCAGAGTCTGCGTGGCCCCTCTCCAGCGTACTGCCCTCAGCAAGTGTGTGGTGAAGATGCAAGGCTTGTCTTTACCTCCTGTTGCAATTTTCTCTTAGTGTTTTCTGCCGAGCTTGGAATATAATATGTGCACACGTGGGAACACAGGCAAGTCATTCAGGAAAAAGCAACCCCCGGAGCAGACAGAGTTTCAAAAGTCTCTGGTTTTGAAAAGCACCGCAGCAAGAGCAGGTGCTTCCACTCACACAGACAGGAGCTAATTGTAGGATCGACTCTGGCCTGCAGGCTCTCTTTTTTATGGTTGTGTCCACAAAGTCTTTGACTGCTCTCTGTAGTTAGTGGCCGCACACACAAAGAGGTCTTTCATTAGCAGTGCTCTATAGGAAGCCAGGGCACAGAGTAAATGACACCTTAATGCTCCCTTTCAAAGCTGGAGTGGTTTGACAATGACGCGTGTTAGTGAACTGCTGCATCTTCCTCCTGCCTGCCTTCCTCCGGCTTGCAATTAAGTTTACAGACATCTAATATTTAGCTTGCATCCAAAACTTTGGCAGTGATTGCTTATCAGTTACTCTGGGAAGATGCGAGGGAAGATCTTTGTTTCAAGAACACGGCTCCAACTTCACGTTACAGCAAGTGCCGATTAACTCACTGCCCCAGGAGAGGCACCCAGTGCCTCTAGGGACCAAGCCCTGCAGCTGAGCAGTGAGCAACCAAGAAAACCCTGCAAGAATTTCTGGGGCTGTTCATTTTTAGGGCAAAGAATTACCTTTTTTGTTTCTGGAAAGTCCAATGGGATTTTGAATGTCCAGCCTTAGGCGTGATGCTGTGTAAACCTGGGGCACAAGTTAGCTCTGGCTATAGATCTCTGTTCTCATCTGCCCCATCAACATCTGTGACTTAGTGGCCCGATGGAAGCGGTGTTATCCTCTCCTGTTTAACTGGCTACTGCAACTTGCTACTTCCATTTCAGAGGTTTCTGTGTCTTTGCTCATTAAATGCAAAGCAAAGAGAGAAACACAAACAGCAGCTGTCACAAAATCCTGTATTTTCATTAATTGTGTGCTCTAGACTGAACTATCTTACTGATGGTGAAGAAGTTACAGGCATTACAGCTGAAAGTATCCATGAGTATGAAACTGAGCTCTGCCCAGTTTTGCAAGCAGGGGTGGTGCTTCCCTGTGTGAGCTACTTCCCTCTAAAAAGGAATCTCTGTTTACCCACATTATTTACAACAGTGTTGTGTTTCAGTAAGTCAGGCCTATTTTTACAATAAAGTCCTGTTTTTATAAGGCACTGTACTTTTCAGAGACTTCATATCAAAATCCTTCTTCCTGGGGGAGTAGAGGCAATGGACTGCATGAAAAATAGAAGGCAAGAAAAACAAAAAATACACTTGTTGAGTCATATGCAGGGCATGTTTACAACACCAGACCAATTATATCTCAATATTTTCATCATTATACAATTTGAGGTTCTACTGATAATTTATAAAATGCTCTTAGTTTTGACAACTTAGATTCTTAAGAGGGATTTTATGTACTCACCCTAGTTTGAATGATGTGACTAAAAATGCTTGAAAAAAACCCATACACACACATGCACATGCTTTCACAAAAAGGGAAAAAACTTACAAGTTTAGAAGTGAATATTATATAAACATATTTAAGTTAATACTAATTAAACATATTTAGAACCATGGAAAAAGAAGGTAATTCTTCACCACTTCTTCCATGGAATTTAAGTTGCATTCTGTATAACTGAAATATAAGCTGATGGAAATGTGATAGAAATACTTTTATTTTAGTTTTGGGGGGAACTGATGGGGGTTTTTCTGAGGGGTTTTCGTGTTTGTTTTTTTTTTTTAATTTGGAAAATTAGCATTCACAAAGCCAGACAGCCAGGTGTTTTGTCTGTAAGAGATAAGTATCTCATATCTCTCTCAGTTTTGTTTGACAGATGAGCTCTATCCCATCACTTTCAAGGCACATCAGCCAAATTGAGACCTTCCAGCTGCATCCTTTGGAGCAGATCAGTAAAATTATGCGTGGGAAGTATATGTTAGTAAGGTAGTTGTCTGAAGAATTCCTAGAGATACTTGTATTTGGAAAAAGCTAGCTACAAATATATGATACAGATCATCCTAAATAAGACCTGAACTGTAGTTACATGGCCTATTTTCTGCATCAGCAGAGTCAGTTTAGGAAATTCTTGCTTTCCTTTTGTCTTCCTCCATGTTCTCAGCAAGATACAGTAGGATACTTGACACCTTTGAAAGGCAGTAGTCACCCAGAGGCCTAACCTGCACCAGGAGTCAAAGTGCCAGAGAATTAAGGAAATTATTGGAGATAATTTGGAGATAAACCCACAGAGGAGGCAGCAAGTGTTGAGGCTGTGCTCTTTTTGGGCCATGCTGCTGGTGCGCCCTTCAGCTAACCCAGTGTTGGATCTGTCAGGCATTTAGCCTTTGACCTGAGCTTTAGCACTCCTAGCAGAAGCCAGCTGCCACCACTCCTGACTTCCTTGCAAAGCTTTAGTATGTGCAGAGTAGGTGGGAAATCTGGGAAATCTATTAAGTTTTAATAGACAACAAACAGGAATGCTTCCAAAGTATTTGTGTTCCAAGAGCCACCTACAAACCACAGCACTATCAAAGCCCAGATGACAGAATGATGAGTGAATTAAATCCATGAGAGATGGGCTTTTGATTTCACTAGGACCAAGTTTAACTGGACTTCTGTAATGACATAACCATACCAAATCATATTCCTTATAACTGTCCAACTAGCTGTGCAACATTTCTCTTGTTGAGGATATCTGGCACCGCAGCCAGAAGAAGTCATTATGCTTTGGTTGTGTTCTTACTTGTTCTTATGTTCTTTCAACACTGCTCCCTAGGACGTCCCTTTCCTCTGTCTCTCTCTTCATCGCCGTCAGGATGCTCCTTAGACCCTTTTTTTCATCTTATTGTTGCCCCACAAGCCTTGCCTGAAATCTTTATCTTAACACCTCCTGACACATCTGAACCACCACATTACTGTCAGACGTTCTGGACATTCGGAACCCATCAACTTGTGCCACATTCCTGTGAAGTGACACATCTTTCATGTTTTGTTTTGACAAATCAGCACCGGGCAACTAAAGTCTGTTTTTAAAAGCACTAAAAATAATTGTTCTTTTTGTGAAAATCAGGATTAAGCTGCGCTTCTATGCTAGGAACGTGTAGGGCTTCCTGGAGGGAGCTGACTTGCTCCTGCAAGGCTATTTTTAGAACATCTGAGACGAGTTTCATAAACATGTACTAAACAGGACTTTTTGCAAGTGGAAAGCAGTGCTTTTTAGCACATTTGATTGCTCTTTCTTCTGGGTTAGTGCTCCTTCACACTTGAAGCTTTCTCCACAAAAAATGAAGAGCTGGTTGGTGACAACAAGTTCTCCACTGCCTCTCTGCCTTTTCCTTTTTGCCTTTGTTGGTAAACACACTCCTCTTGCATTTTCCAAAGATATTTCAGGTCTGGGTATTATGAACTCATGGCTACTTTCTCTTGGAGTTTTTCCTTCCACCAGGCTTCTCCTCTCCTGGAACACAGGACAAAAGACAGATGCAGAGAGGCTGCAGCAGAAATGACCACACTTCTCTACCAATAACCTTGCAAGCAAGGTGAGCATGTGTGAAGCACATGACACCAGGTAGATGCATTTGACAGGATGGCAGAACTTTCTTTTCAAGTCCTCAGTGACTGTGAGAGGAATCCTCTCTCCTCCTCTTTCCCTACATCTGACTTGTACTAAATAAATGTCCTAGGAAAGAGCTGGAGCAAGCCACAAACATTGGGGACCAGATGTTCCAAATCTCACCTTTTAGCAAGGTTGAATACAGAGCTGTACCATTTGCTCTTTCTTGAGGGGGATATTTTAAAACTATTCCCCAGGCAGTAGCAAAAGCAGTAGCAGGTTATGCTAGCTTCCAACTGAATGATTCCTGTAAAACAGCCAAGAGGCTTGTCTACAAAATATTTTGGAGCTAGTAGCACCCAGCAGTATGTGCAGCTTAGAAGAGGACTGTTTCCTTAACAAGCTTTCCTTCGTGATGTGAGCACTCAGTGCCTTCGTATACCCATGGATCTCCTTCAACTTTGGCTCCCTCAGACTGCCATTCTGCTCCTGATGCTGCAGGCTCCAACAGGGCATCCTTGAATACCTCAGAACTTGATGATACACAGGATAAAACACCTTCATGCTGGTAATTTGCTTCATTACACAAGCTGTTTGCCTGGCTAACTGGGTGTTTTTCCCTCCAACACCTGCGGTGCAAATTCTGCTGCTGGTTGCAGGGCACTGAATCACACATTTCTTAAGGGTGATTTCTGCTTTTGCAACTGGTCTAAACTCTTAGGAAGGATGGTTACATCTGCAAAGACAAGCCATATGGTGTGGAAACTCCCCTCCCAAAACCCATGAACATTTCCCTTCTAAACTGACCTGACATTAGGAGTGAAAGGTGAACTGCTTCTCCTAAACAGAAACCTCATGGGTTTGTTTGTGAAGAAGTGGTTTTGAAAGTTGGTCATCTTCATATCTACAGTTCCAGGTTAAACAGGTGATGACTGAAGCAGTGGAAGAGAGTGGTCAGTAAATAGAAATAGAAATAGAAATAGATACAGCAGAAAAGAAAGGAGGAACAGAGCTGAGAAATGTTCACAAAAATTTAGTAGTGCTAGGAGTTGGGTGAACATGTAGGAATCAGCAAGTCAGAGGTGGTAGAATAATTGGTTATGACTGTTTTGACTTTACTTACTTTAATATGAATACAGCATCATGAGGAAATTCTGGTCTGTTTTCACATCCTCATGGTGCTAGGGGGAAGACCAGAGCTTTGATTGTGAGCCCAGCATTTCTGGAAGGCTCCTGCACAAGATCTGACACAAGTCAGAAAGATTTTCATATAGCTGCAAGGTAAGTTTCAGAGTCTAGGGACATCAGAGCATGGGTTACTCTGCCTGGTTGTGCAGTTCAGGCAACAAGCACTGAACTCTCAGTCTCCTCCTGTTTATTGAAAAGGAACAGCAAGCTGTACACCACTACTTCTGTGCATGTCAATAAAGCAATATGCAGGACGGCTGTTCTTAATATCTCCACTGTTTGCGCTCGCAGTTTTTTTGTCCACTAGTTAAACACCTGATTCACAAATACTTCAAGGCTTGGGTTGGGATTGGGCTTTTTTTCTTCTTGTCATGCACACTTTCTTTTTTTTCTTTTTTTTCCCCATCCAGCGTTCTAAGCTTTTTAACACTTCTGCCTCAACTCTTGGCAACACCTGGATCACATACTTAACTTGCTTTTTATCTCAGCAGCTTGTAAGCTTTAAACAACTGACACACTCCATCAAAGGAAGAGAAAAACCAAAACAAGAACCCTATTAACCTCTGTTACCCATATAAACTAATTAACTCTAACCCCTCCCCAATTATCCCTGGAGAGGGGAACTGCTTTTATAAGCTTCCTGCTTTTCTTCACCCCTCCTCTTCATGGCTGCTTGCCTTGTTCCTGAGGAGCGAGGCACTGACGTGCCCCCATCTGCGGCTGCCTTTGCAGCCCCAGGGGCTCTACAAACACTGGGCTGCTGTGAGGTGCTGAGCCCCACATCTCTGCTTGGCCATGGTGCCCTTCAGGTGCCTGGGGGAAGGGGAGAGGTTGCTTTTCACTACAACTCTTGGTCACACCTGGTTGTTCAGTCCACGGTCAAGGGTGGTGACCCTTAGTTTCTGACCTTGGATTATATTTCAGGTTTCAAACAGGCTTCCCGTTTGCTGATTAAAGCTTGCTTGTTCAAAGCAAAAGGATTAAAAAGAGTAATTATAATCCTGCTAATTTATGTGATTCTTCATGCTAAACCATGCCTGTGTGCATAGACATCTGTGAGCACACGTGCCTGGGATGGTTTTTGTGTGCATTTGTTTTAAACCTATGCCAGCAGTGAGGGAGACAAAGATTATTAACTGGCTGCTGTTAGTCCTCTCTGTGCCATATATATGTCAACACACACCATCGTTCTTCCTTTTTTCATTAAGAACTAGCTAAAAGCAGTGAGTTATTTCAGGATGCCAAGCTCTTGCTTCTGAATTGTTATTCAACAAGTAACCTGATGCTATTGTGGCTACCCTACCCAGCTCCACCTGACTTTTTTGTCGTCTCTCTTATCAAGCAAAGTCACAGTTACACATTTCCAATGCAGTGCATGCTGAAGACAGATCATTTGTATGTGGAAGTGATAACATGGACTGATTATATGCAGGTGAAGGGGGAAGTCTCAGCAAGGGTCCAATAAAGCAGAAGGCAGCAAGTGGGGGGAAGCCCTGTTCCATGCTTTCAGAAGGGATATTACTAGCAGATTATTAATAGCAGGTTGTAACCATCCTGATCAACATCACTCAAAACAAGTGGATAAATTCAGAGCTCAGAGCAAGAGGGAGGTACGGGGCTCTCTCAGGTCTCTTGGTCGCCACGTCTCAGTTATTTTGTCCTGAGGAAGGTGTCAGACTAGTCCTGGGAATTGAGCTCCTTTCTGCAGCTGGATGGGGCAGCGTGATGCAGGCCAAACAAAAACTCAAGGCATGATCCACAGTTATGTAAAGGGGCTTTGGACTCAGTCCTAACTTAATCTAAAAGTTGCTTGAGGGGCTTCTCAATACACTTTGTTACTTGGGCCAGGAGAGGTGTTTTGGATTAGGATTTAGCAAAACTCCAGGTGGGCCAGCCACTGGATCAGGGCATGTGGTCTCTCTCCAGGTGAATGCTTATGGAGCATCCAGTGCTGCAGGTCACTGCAGGGTAGGGAGGGCCCAAATGGCCATGGCCAAAGAACAGGCTCCAGTTAATCTCATCCTTACGGTGTGAATCATAAAAATATCAATTTTTATAAAATGTCCAGGCAGCACACTTTGAGGGGCAAACAAGGATTTGACTGTTTTTTTCTCCTGAAAAATACTACAGACTGGAACAGACTTCTGAGCAGGCTCTATGGAGCTCCACAGAGTCCACAAAGCTTCACTTTTGATATCATTGCCCAATTCTCATTACCAGCTGAGCAGCAGTGCTGTAGAAACCTTCCTTACCTTCCTCTCTTTAGAGATGAGTCAGGTTTATTTTATCCCAGGGTGCTTGACACTCGAGTATTGCCACTTAAGTAACTAAAAAAAAATAAGAAGAGTCTCTAACATGCAGGCACTATAGAAGTGGCCTGCATTATGGGGAATCTAGCTTTGATGTGCCCTCATGGCTACAGCAAGTCTCTCCCCACTCCATCTGTGTTGGTGAATTTGAGTGCTTTGCTTCTGAGGATGAAGAATTGAACCATACCCAGGTGGATCCACCCAGCCCACATGAGAGCATTCCTTCAAAAGATAGCTGCCAGCCTGTCCTCCCCCTTGTTTTTATTCTTTTCTGTTGGTGTTTCCCCTCTCCTGCCCCTGGGCCCAGCCCTGTGGTGCTCAGCCAACTGCTGGCTGAGGATGCTGTGGGAGGGAGCAGAGTGGCCCTGGGGTGGTATCACCACAACTGGTGCCTGCCTGCACAGGGCTCAGCACACTGGGGGCGCTGGGTCTGGCCACAGAAGCTCCCTTCCCTCCTCACCATAGTCCCTCTTGCAGAGCATTCCTAGCTGTATCCACAAAAACTGCATCCCCATCTTCTGCTTCTCTCTCTGACTCCATGTGAGAGTGCAGCAGCAGCAAAATTAAGGCAGCAGATTAGAAATTCTAAAAATTTTCAGCAGTCCTTCCCCATCCTCCTCTTTAGGAAGCTGCTTTCAATCACTTTATGTACTGAAAACAAACATGAAAGGAAAAACTCTCCTCTGCCTTCAGTTGTCAGAGCAAAAACCAGAATTCCCTGAGCTCTTTTCAGAAGTGCTAATATTCTCCCCTAGGCCTTCATTATATCGCACACAGATCTGCAGTCCTCTGCACACAGGCAGGGAGGGAACAGCCTTAAAATTTGGGCTGCAGTATGTATGTATTTATTTATTTATTAAAAATAAAAACAAAAATTTGCCAGCACCAGTGAACAGCGGATCACAGTGGAATAAAAAGGAAGTTCATGGTTCCAGCACTAATCAAACAGGTAATGTTGGGTCAGTGTGATGGGGACCCACCCTGAGCTGGCTCAGGGTGAATATGGCCAATGTGTGCTGGGTCCTCTTCCTCCAGCCTGGCACCTGCATGTCCCAAAGCAATTAAGTTTTATTTCTGTAGGTATCCACTTCTCCATCCCTTGTTTCCTGCAGAAATATAATTTTTTTTTCTGTCTCTTGCAACTGAGAAAAATTATGTGCCTCCTGTTCCTTGTTCAAGGTGGCCAATGCATAAATTTCCTTGCTGTTCCCCTTGCAAACCATTTTGATTTTGTCAGTGGCACTTACGCTTCCAGCCTCAGGAAAACTGTTTGTTTGAAATTTGAAACTGGAATTTCTTCAAAGGGAACAAAGAGTCTTAAAAATTTCAATTGGGAGCCATTTATGATTGAGGAAACCCTCCTTTGGTAGTTAGGTAACTAACTATTGATTTACCCAAAACACAGGGTAAATCAGCCCAAACACCAAGTGAGGACCAGGCAGTGGAATGAGCAGCCAGAGGGTGAAATTTTTCACTGTTCCTCCTCTCCCATCACCCACTTATAAAAGCCTGTATTATGTTTTAGCATATTACAATCATGGGTATTGACTAGCGGCGGGACTGCAATGGCTGGAATAACTCCAGCCCAGAAATGACACTTGTACACACTGCCAGCAGCCATTGACATCAGCCCCCTCAATTCCTAGATTACAGCTTACAGCATACAAGGATTTTTTTGTCTCTCACTTTATTTGCACTGTCTAAAGAAGAGAAAGAAAAAGGGGGAAAAAAGAAGGTCCAAAGTGTTTCTGTATTCTGTATTTAGCCCTTTAAAAAAGCCCCACCATGGAGCATCGTTCTAGTTGGGTTTTTCAAGCACTCTGGGAAGACATTAACCCTATGATACCATTGCAGGCATACAATGTGTTTGGAAATGAAAATTCATTTGGATTTCACTTGGTGGCCCAGAGCATCTTTTGGCTTTCTGCAAAGTCATGTTTGTTAGATGAGTCTAAAATATCAGTGCCAACACTTCAGCACTGGGAACAAGAGACAGGAGTATGTGAATTGCTGGCCTGATTTGAGCCAACAAGTAAGAGCTCATAAACAAGACACACCATAACACATATGCCTACACTCATAGCAAGGCACCTACATAAGGGCAACAGCAGATTTTTCTAAGCACAGAACATCTTTCACCTGCCTCTAAGAGCCCCAAAAATTATCTAAGTTTTTAAAAATTAGATCCACTGTCTTAATGTGCTATATAAATGCTAGGATATCAAACTAGAAGCCTATGTTTAGGAGCAACCTTCCACTTCTAAAAGTTGAAAGCATTTTTAGTGTCGTGACTCTCGAATCTGTTGGTTGTACCAGTGAGGGGAAGCACTGGTTAATTCTAATTCTGCCCAAAGGTCTGAGTCCCTTGTCCACTGTCTGGGGCCCAGAATTTGAGTGGTTTAGCATGTACTGGCATTAGTTCTTTTTGAACTCCTCACATATTAAAAAGGATAGGATAAACTTTTTGAATATCAGTTTTGAAAACTGATACCTTGCATACAGCTTGCTGCTGAGCATCTAGTAAGAAAGCCAAATTTGTTCACTTGCCTCATTGGCATAATCCTGAGAAAATCAATAACAGTCAAGATACAGCCATGCCATTCATATGGAATCTGTATTTCAGCTAGAAGTTTAACACTGCATCCCTCAGGCTGTTTTCCAAGGCCAAAGAATTTTTAACCATCATTACAGCACTGAATGCATACCATGCAACACATGTAATACACCCCCACACCTCCCTCTCTTTTCTTTTTGCTAGAGAAAAAAATCTCACAGAAGCTAAACCAATAACAAAATAACATTGTTTTCTGATCTATATTATTCCCAGAATATTAATCCTCCATTCTCAGAATATGTTCAAGAGATGGGGCATCAATAAAAGAACCTGTTTTTTCAAAAGACTACACTTTGGCATGACCACCTACCTAGAGAATTTGCCTCAATAGATCATAAAGTAGTGATTATTTTCCTGCTCTTCTGTTAGATCAATTCTGGCTGACAACTGCTCTCAGACAGTCTCTTCAGAGTTGATTAAGTTTGCTCTTGCAGACAAGATAGAACAAAGTTAAGACTCACAAGCAGAAGTAATTTCTTTTGTATATGAAGACTGACTGTGGACTGAGGCCCAGTGGATGCTCTCTGAGGGCAATGCACCACGCTGCTTGCAGAAATGAAGCAGTCCCTGTCTTCTATTGACCAGGTAGAGCCCTGGCCAGCCATAGCGGCTGCCACTTCACAAAAACAATGGGCAAACAGGGAAGGTATTTCCAAAGAAAGGAGCCACTTCTTTCAGTCCTGCAGGCTCCACAGAGGTGGCAGATCTGCAGATGTCCCCATCTCAATTCTTCACCCAGCTTTGGTCCCATTTTTGCCAGAAGTCTTTGCTTTTGAAGCAGCAAAAATAATTTTTGCCTGTGCTGCTGAGCAGCTTGAAACAGCAATGTTAATTAGTCCCACAGACCATATTTAGCAAAAATGGACAAACTTTCAGGCACTCAAATGTTTTGTATTTGATTATGCTATTTTCTGCCAGTAGAACATGGTCAAATAACAGAATACCCTTTAAAATGGGCAACAAATCCAATTAACTGTCAGGATCTTAAATGATAGGATGAGTAAGGGGAGATAAGGTAAAGCAATAAACAAACAAACAAACAAAAAGCCCTGCATAAAATGAGGTGGATTTTGGGGCTTTCTCAGTGTGAAAGGAGTAACACAGACAACAGGAATATTTCTCTATATGTAAAAACCCCTACATGGTATCTGTTTAACGTCTGCCTAGTGGGGAACACACTTGTCAGTACTCAAAATTAGAGAGGTCTACATCATCATGGGTGGAAGAAGCTGAAGATGGATCTCAGAGTCAGTCTCGTCTCAAAGCTCATGCCAACCACCCAATGTGCCATCACATCCCTGCTGTGAGATGTGGGCAGCGCTGCTGAGGACCATCAAAAGAAAGTTGTATAAACAATCCTTCAAATGCTGTTTGGTCAGCAGCACAGGGCAATTTAGGGTGCAGCATGCACAGATACCCTCGCTGCAATGAAAAAACAACTCACATTTTTACTGCACATAGTGCACAGCTTGCTATGCAGTGAAAAGGCCAAAAGTCAAGATGTGATGGATAGTCTTTCAGGATGCCACAATGGAAAAGAGACCCTTCTCTAAATCACAGTACCACAGGCCCAGCAAGAGGGCTTTGCTTTCCTGAAGCTGAGGGTAAGATAACTGTGAGGTATCCAGCTGGCAAGGCTGTCAGAGACTTTCCCCAAGGCAGAGTCTGAGCCTACAGACTCCACTGGGCAAGATAAACAGATGTACCAAGCACACACTGAGATTTCCATGAGTACACTAATCATGCTTTACACCATGTCTAGGAACAATCCCACTAACGTTTTTCCATGGATGCAATGACCTAGATACTTGCCAGCAATGCAGTAGAAGGCAAGGAATTATTCTGCTAAAGTTACCATCAGGATGCCACAGCCCTATGAAATCACCAGGTGCCAGGTATGATAAATGAGCACAGCTCTTTACCTTTAGGTATAACCTTAGTAGGGCAAGAGAAGAGGTCCAGTGAGAGGGGACATACTTAGGAGAAATACTAAAGAAATAATCTCAGCATATCTTCATATTCCCCTTGTGCCAAAATTTCCGTCACTCTTCAGCATCCTCCTTTTCCTCCCCACTGCCAGCCACCAGCGAGGATGAAATAATCAGGTTTATCAGACAAACACTATTGGCAACAACATCTGTGTGCAAGTGTACCTTTTCAGCAATGCTAGTTTACGGTTTCTAGGTGCTTTTTAAAATGATGATGCAAATCTGACACTAAAACTGAAATTAAAAATATTTCACCTTTTATAGTCCCTTAGCATGATGGAAGATAGGAAAACAATAGGGTCACCAACTGTCTTTAGGCTGAAAAAATAATGTTTCTTGATCCTTCTTTTGATTTTACCTTTCATGTAAGCTCTGCTCAGGGTCTGTTGAAGATTGAAGATTATTCATGTGAAAGTAGCAATCCCTTAATTAATGCTAATAGACACCCAAGTGGATCTCATCATAATTAGTGTGGCTCTGTTAAAGTACTGGAGAAAATAGACTGCTCTACATGTAGGCTGTAGCACCAACTGATTGACATGGAAACTGCAAAACTACTTGAAAGCAGCATAGGGCTGAATCCTGCTCCATTTCTATTTATGTCACTCCAGTGATGCTACAATGAGACACAGTGGTGTAAGCCCTATTATTCAGTCATGAGACTGTTTTGGTTTAGATGCTGATTTTGTTAGATATGCTCATATTTTGCAGGGGAATCAGAATATCAGCAAACAGGCCATCTAGCATCCCAAGAGGGCCAGCATTTTCAGAATTCAGAAAGATTAAACACAGCAGTGATAGACAGCTCCAGTGAGTATTTTTAAATGGCAACTTGCCACACAAATGGTGAAGTGTGGGTTTTATTAACTAACTTTTAGTTAATTTACTGTTCAGTGGGATTCAACAATCAAGATACTGCACTTTTCCTATGACTTAAAACACTGCAGTGGCAAAGCCTAGGTAAGCATATTCCTGTGTCTTTTAACAGTGTGAAAATGCTTGAGAGAAAAAAAAAAAAGAAAAAAAAGAAAAAATATAAAGGAGACTCTTGAAGTTGTGTGTCAACCTTTGATGTTGTTTCTGAACCCTCCTAAATACTGTAGCTGAAATCCTCGCTCCCATGGCAGTGAGGGAGGGTTTTCATGGGCTCATGGAATCAAAGAATGGCCTGGGTTGGAAGGGACCTTAAAGATCATCTTGTTCCAGCCCCCTGGCATGGACAAGGACATCTTCAAATAGACCAGGTTGCTCAGATCCCCATCCAGCTTGGCCTTAAACATTTCCAGGGATGGGGCATCCACAGTTCTCTGGAAAACTTTTCCCAGTGCCTCATCACCCTCAAAGTAATAGAATTTTTTCCTAGTTTCTAATCTCAACCTGCTTTCTTTCAGTTTCTATCTTCAGTTCTTTACTAATTCCTTATGGCAAGCCACAAGTTGCAACTGAAGACTCTTACTTGACTACAGATTAAATAACAGAACACACAGAAGGACCTAATCTAGGAAGAGGAAAAATTTCAAAGTGCTTTGTCAAACACAGACATCAAAGAGAAGCTGAGGCAGTTTGACTTCTATTTACCACTTTAAAATTGGTCAATCTTTTCTGTAGTAGTTGTCTATCTATCTATCTATCTATCTATCTATCTATCTATCTATCTATCTATCTATCCAATATACATTATAGAAAAAATATATATACATAAATATATATGAGAAACTGTTTACATGTTCTTAAAAAATTAAGAGTCAGCAGCCCTGCAATAATAAGCAGATCTAAACCTCAAACTTCTAAGTTTTTATTACCAAGAGTGAGAAATATTTTTTTAAGAAATGAAAGTCACAAAGGGTGTGCCTGTCTCATTTTTCTTCCGCTCCAGTTATTTACAATGCACAGCATGTGGCGGTTATCTGACAGTGAGATTCTTCAAGTTCTATACACCACAGTGGTGGGTTTGAAGGATGCAAACAGCATGGCCTCAATTCATACTTGTTTTACTAATGCCTTGTGTCTATTTTTACAGCCTATTTGAGAATTCCTTGCTTTACAATGGTGACATAGTTTTAATTTACAGCAGCCAGATTCCTAAGAACATTGCTCCCAAGCAACCAGCATTTTGACCTCTGCACTTTCAGACACTCATAACCTCCTATAAAGTAAAAAAAAAACCAAAACAACCAAACAAACCAAAGAACCCCAAAAGAATGATCATCCACAGGAGGGAGAACTTCAGCAATGTCTGTTGTCTCCTAACACATCTAAAAGAGATGCTGTCCTCTCTGGGTGCCTCTATATTATTGTTTTGGCTTAAATTAAGGGTATGGTTTGGAAACAAATCTACCTGTCTTTTTCATTTGCCAGATTTTGGGTCATATCATAGAGTGGATTTTGAACTGGATGTTTTCTACCTTGAAATTAATTTGGAAGACAACTCCCAAGAGTGCATTCAGTGTTCTCTGACCATGAATGAACATGCAGCTCCCCAGTACCAAAGTAGAGTTAGTTCATAGTAAACTGTCAGAGTGTGTATGGTGATAATATCAATTCTCAGCACCAACTGGTCTTCTTTTGCAGTGTGCTACTTGCTAATGTAGTCACAGTCTCTCAAACTAGTTTCTAATGTTCTCTACAGCCTTCCTTGGGAAGTGTCTGCAGTGTTACAGCTGGACAACAATGCCCTTGCTCCATCTGCAGGACCAGAGTGCAAAGCTGCTGGCATGTGGAAAGACTCAGTGGCCCCTTCCCTCCACCTTCCCTCACGCCTTTCCTGGCAAATCTGCCTTTCAAATCATAGAATCACAGAATATGCTGAGTTGGAAAGGACCCATCAGGACCACTGAGTACACTCCTGGCCCTGCACAGGACACCCTAGGAATCACACCATGTATCTGAGAGCATTGTCAAATACTTCTTGATCTCAGACAGTCTTGGTGCTGTGAACACTTCCCTGGGGAGGCTTTTCCAGTGCCCATCCACACCTCCCCTGACTCAGCTTCACGTCATAATATCATAGCCCCTAAATATGACTTGGTGGAAAAACAGGCCCTAGAGTTTCCATTCTTGGAGATATTCAAACGCCTCCAGACAGTCTTGGCAACTGGCTGTAGGTGTCCATGCTTGAGCAGGGAGGGTTGGACAAGATGACTTCCAGAAGTCCTGTCTAACCTCAACCATTCTGTGATCCTGTGACAACCATTCTTTTCCAACTATACCATAAAGTCTGAAATGTATAGCCCACAGGACCAGAAGAACAGGTCACCAAGCTCCCAATGGAACAGGTTTGAGGGCTCCCAGGGATGGCAGAGTAACTCACCGTAGCCATAACTAAGGGATGCTGCTGATCCTAGGAGAAACACTACGGCTGAAAACAATTGTCCTTGACTGGAACATCTCCCAAGTCAAAATGATGCCATTTCCATAGAGACATGGTGCTCCATCAGAAAATCAAGTACTGCAGCCTCTGGCAAGAGTGGTGATTGCCTGCCTGGAGCTGGGCAGAAGCCACCACCAGCCCATGCTCAGCTCCTGCTCTGCTCAGGAGGTGAATGTCACTAAAGGACATGAAATGATTCACACTACTACTTTCAGTGTTAGAACAAAAACCTGTGACTTTATTTCTTGATTCCAGTATTTATAGATTCTTGACAATGACCAGAGATTGGATAATTAAGTTACCACCTTCCCAAGCACACTGGTCTTGCAAAATGTCCATCAAAAAATGTTTCTCAGAAGGAATGTGATAAACAACTCATGTTCACTGGACTCTCATGGGAAAGCAACCAGAACTATGAAAACATTATCAGAAGGCTTAATTTTCAGGGTGACAGGGGAAGCCACAAGAGATGGCTATGCTGATCTTCCCTATCACTAATGTTGCTGAGGGTGTGGTGGGAAACAGCCCTGGAAAAGTATAGGCATGGCATGGTACTGAGGGGAAAATGCAGATTAATTAGACCACAGACAAAAAATAAAGAGAACGGTGAGCTATTTATTCAGGGTCAGCATTTTTGAGGGAAGGAAAACAAAACAGTTTTGCTTATGGCTCAGGAGAACAAGATATAAAACATATTTGAGGTTTGCGGCTAAATATCCTCTAAATTCACAATAGAATTTTTACAGAGGTCAAATAAATTTTTTAGAGATGAAAAGAAAACACTGGCTTAAACATTGCAGAAAAAAATATTGTTTCAACTAGTTACAGTAACAAGTGCTGGTCTAACAATATCCTCCAGCCAACTCTTTTTGTCAGAATTGATCATAAAAAGCATTTCAGATGGCCCTGCTGCAGCTTTACAAAGCCTTCAACAGAAGCTGCCTTTTGTGTGCTGCATAACCCATAGGGCAGCACAGCTGCCTTCCATATAAGTCACAGACTGAGATGTGGACGTCACAAGAGAAAAAGCTCTAAAGGTCTCAAAAGCAATTTAGTGACAATAAAGGTCCTTTAAATATATGGACAAGCAGTGGAAGTGGTATCTAAGACACACATTAAAATTAAAGAAATGCAGAAATAAAGCACATCTTCCCATGAAGACAGGAATCTTCACTTTCAGATGACGACTTTTATCGTCAGCCATAAAGTTTTAGTTGGGTTTATTTGATGTAGCCAAGAACTTTCAGATGGATTTCTAAGTGTGTCATGATATAGCCAAGGCCTTCAGAGTGTTTTATTTACTAATTAAATGGACGCTGGTAGGCTGAGTGCCAGTCTGTGCCATTACACAATTACACTAAAAGATCTGGATGATGTAGAACTTTCATCACCCATTTGGGGTCTTACCAGGCTATTTCACTTTCTTTACTAGTATTGGCTTGTTATAGTAGGTGCTGTCATTAGCGTTCAGTCAGCCAGAGCTGGATTTGCAGCCAGTTAGACGCAAGCATGTGCTGCTGTGTATTAATTAGGAAGTGCTGAGTGTACCGTGTGACCCGTTTTCCTCAGCTCTGCAATTAGCAGCTTCACAAAAGCGTCTTCTGAGGACCCGAACACAAGTTAATCTTCTGGGGGGAAATGCTAAAAGAAACAATCAGCAAAACATTTCAAATGGGATTTGAGATAATGCTGCTTAAATCTGAAAGGTCTCACGTCTATGCAGTTGCTTTTAGGACATTGGCAAAGTACCATGTCTTTGTTTCTGGAATAAAAATTCCAGTGGAGTACACTGCCCTTCGTGTTTGCATCTTTCTTTCTTTCTACATTTTGGAAGCCGCAAACTCTGACCCAGCATGTCTGCATGCCTTATTATAGCATGACATCACCCTCCTGCCTATAATTTGGAAGAGAAAACTTGTCATTCCCAGTCAGATACCCACTGCACACAAAATTTGCTCCATCAGTTGTTCAAAGACCTACTGAGAGCCAACTGTCTGAAGTTTCTCCAAAATAAACTGTTTTCCTGCTGTATTTGTGCAGTATTCAAAATGCATTTGCCACTCTGGTTAGAGTGGGAGACAAGATGACTTCGAGGGATGTGCTTTTTTCCCACCTCACTGAAGGACACGCTCAGTTTGCCATCCATTTCCCTCCTGCACTCAGTGTCTCCTGTGGCTGGTACCAACCCAGCTCATTGGAGGCTGCAGGCTCAGGGACTCCCGCTGCACTTAGTCTGGGGAGGGTTTAACCTACAAACAACTACATTTCTCCAAACAAGCTGTTCTACGAAACTGGCTTTTACAAGTAACTTTCTGTCAATGGTGAGGGAAGATAGTGAGGATCAGCTCAGGTAAGCATTACCGTTTGGAATCTGTCCAAATGAGATCAAACATTTTGAAGTTCTCCTCTTGTTGAAGTCTCTATCAGCTCTTGAATTTTCTGGCAGTTGCTTAATGCCTTCTGGCATGCTCTCCCCTCCAGCTGCATGCACACAATATCCTTGGGGGTTTCATGGAAGCTGCTTCTTTCTAGTACACTCAAGCCCTACTATCTTTTACCCAATGAGAAACACTATGTGATGAACTTCTCCCTCAGTTTCAGCTGACATCAATGAGCAATGATTGAACATAAAACCAATGCTTGAATCCAAAAGTTAAATAATCTAGCTCAAGATTTCTGTAACAGTTTGGTACAAATTAGGTTGGCTCCCAAATTTACAATGGCTGGCTCAATTCCTAGATTTTACAGACGCCTGTTAGCAGCCATTAGCCATATCTTTTGATTTTACTTCTAATACAGTGGCGTTATTCCAAAACAATTTCTCCAACAGGTGACACAGATGGGCAATCACCACCTACCAACCAGATCAGTGTGAATACTGTGTGTGGAAACAGCTAGAATGAGGATTCTCTGTGTTTATCTGACATGATATTCTAGATGACATATCAGTGCAGTTAATCTGACACTTGGCTAATGTTTCCTGCACAGGAGCTGTTTACAGCTCAAATGGCAGAAAACCCTGTCCAGGCTCAAGTGACAAGTGAATGTCATAGAATTACAGAACATTTTGGGTTGGACTTTGAAAGGTCACACAAGTCCAATCCCATGTCAGGAGAGGGGGTCATCCAGACATGGTAGAGGTTACACAATATTCCTCAAATTTATGCAGAAAACTCACATTTCTTACTCTCTCCTGCTCTCTGAGGAGTAGCTTCAGTCAGTCCCCATGACTCCAGCCATCAAAGTGGCACAAGCATGGGCAGACTAGAACCAATAATCTGTTTCTCAGACCCAGCAGAATTCAACAGAAGACCTAAAAAGTCAGTTGTCTTGGGATTAGACAGAGAATGGAAAGGCCTTGGTGAATAGCCACACAGTGAAATCTAGGTCCCCTGTTCCTTGAGAAGATCTTGTTGATATCTAATGATATACAGAAGCACACAAACTGTCCACCTGTGTATAGCTCTTCTTCAATCTCAAACTGCTTAATAGATGTTCAGTAAGACTCACTCCCCTCCTCTGACATTGGCTGGACGCCCCTTTTGCAGATACCTTTTTGGTAACTGCCAGCTGGGGAGTAGTGGGTCAGAGGTAGAATCAGGGAATCACAGAATGTTAAGGGTTTGGAGTGGACCTTAAAGGTCACCTAGTCCCCAACATACAGCCCCCTCCCAGCATGGGCAGGATACCTTCCACAAAGGAATCTTGATTTTGAATTACTCCAGTCACTGTGTGATATTCCTTCCCCTATAAAACCTTTAAAGTTTCGCAATACAGAGGACAGAAACATAAATTATCAGCCTTGTTATTACTTCTTAGCATAGCTCCCAAGAAAAGCAACAGGAAAAAATTCTGACATTCCTTTCCCCCTTCCTACCCACCCTGGTAATGGCCGTCAACATTCTACTGAACCTAATGAAAACAGTAAGCTTTATTAATTGTGACTGTCAAAGTTGTGTTGTCAATAGTTACAGGAACTTTTTGTGACACTCAGAACTGGATGTAAGAGGGACTTTTGCAAATAAAGACATTGATACTCTGTAGTTTCTCACATAGTCTAAAAACCAGATAATGACCAAATAATAAATTATCTAGATCAGAAGAAGAGCTGTGCCTGGGGAACAAATCACCTACAAGCACTGTATTGTGTGCTTGTTGGTCTTGGGGCTACTTGATAACCTGAGCCCCTTGCTATGAGCAGCCTGACTCTGATGCCACCAGGATTCAGCAAAGGTGCAGGATGAATTTCTGTTCTTTTGCATTTGCTTTGATTGTCTTTAGTAATAGCATTCATTCCCCCCTAGCAAATGTTCATAGATCCATTCAGTGAGTATGTCTTCAAGGCAATTTGTTAGTAGCCTGCATTTCCATAAATTGCAGCAAACTTCCTCACAAAGACAGCAAAAAAGAGAGACAGTGG